AGAGAGAGAGAGAGAGAGAGAGAGAGAAATGAGAGAGAGAGAGAGAGATGCTAGTAAAATCTGAACGATACATTTCGCCTATAAACCACGACATCTTCATGTTTATATTAAAAACTCACATAAACCACGCGGGAAGAGTTAAAAAAAAAAAAGGAGCATAGTTTGAACTGCCACAGTCCCAACTGTCGGATTCCATATTCAGACAGAGCTGTCTCCTTTTTTTTTTTTTTGGCACAACATCTGTTCATCTACATTGTACTTAAACTGTCTGTCCTGTGAAGGCGTGTCTAGCAACGCCTCAACAGTTTAACACACAAGTACAGCAGTGAAATGGGATCCGCACTGAATTTTCCACTTTTCGCTTCTCTCTCTCTCTCTCTCTCTCTCTCTCTCTCTCTCTCTCTCTCTCTCTCTCTCTCTCTCGATGCATCTTTGTATATGCACTTATCTGTTGCAATCTCTCTCTCTCTTTATCTATCTATCTATCTATCTATCTATCTATCTATCTATCCGGAAATCACGAATTTCTCCCTTGCAGCAGCACTCCTTTATTCACGATATAAAATCGTGTCCAATCATATATTTTGAAGCTTATCTTCATATGTTCCCCTCGTCCACCAACGAAGCAGCCTTGTGTTGAAACGTGTAGTCAGCATCAGTGAACAATTTTGCACGAATGTCTTCCTGTTGCACTGCCGGCAACCCTGCTCTGAACAACATGAGTGTTTTAGCAGCCACATCCGTTGATCGATCAAGGCTGAATATGAAGGATACGAATGTGTCTCGCGCCTCAACGGATGCAATTATATCTCTTTTAATTGTTGCCAACTCCGCGTTTTTTTCTTCCACTCTAGTTTGTTTAGAACATTAGAACACCTCGTTTTTAATTACCATCTCAGCGAATGCAAGTTGTTGCAATGACACACCAGTTTCGTGGCCTTTCCTCGTGTGAAAGAACACCCTTGCCAAGTACACTTCGAACGCCGGATCACCCCATGGCTCGTTGGCCTTCCGCCTCCACGAATTGTTCTTCATCATTTCCTCCCTCAGTCGTTGTCGCATGTCTTGTTGTTTGTCTGTTTGTTTAGAAGTCACTAAAGGGTATTCCTTCTCAGCCCAAAACTCGTGTTTTAACCTCTATGATATTTCCCTTCTAACGGTCGTCATGATCCTATTACATTCAATCAGGACCTGGCGTACGGCGCACGACTTCAAATATGTTCTTAACCCTGTGGATGCCCATTCTCCTATATTTTCTGCCATCGTATATAACAACTTGAGAAAATGTTCATCCTGTAGGTAGAATGTCCAGTCACGAGCAGACATAAAAGCGTATGCCTTTGCAACTGACCGCATCATCCTGTCCTTCATCTTTTTCGTCAGCCTCATCTCGTCCTGGTGATCTGTGACATTCTGATTCCGGTTTGAGTTCCTGTTGTGAAAGCGACTTCGTCCCTTCCTGTCCACTTTTTCTGCGCTCATTGAAACAAACGGAGTTTTTTACATCGCAGTTAGAGAATGTAAAAGAGAACATGAAAGGACAATGAACATTCATGATTGTATTCTAGTTTTTTTGTCTTTTTTTTTGCGTATGACATACCCACTGGATTGGTTATGCAAAGGAAGAACACTATTTGCTATGCTGTGAATGTCTTTCATGCAATGACATTTACCTGTTTTCTCTTCGCGCAGCTTCGTCGTTTCGTTGGAGTTATCACAATCTTGCTCATCTGCGTCATCCATATCTTCCCCTGTGACTTCCTTTCCTCCTTCATCAGAATTGTCTTCCTCATAGTCATTCTGTCGACTCTGAGTCGGACTTGTTTGTGATTCTGTTTGTGAATGTGTGTGTTCCGAATGCTCGTCTTCTCTATCCGTACTTTCCTCCACCTCCTGCAACGCAGGATAATCTTCGTGTTCTTGTCTACGTGACTGATAGGGGTGTGTTTTCAGTTCTCTTTCTCTGAAACTGTTGGTGTTATGTTTAGCCTCTCTGTTCCTCGGTGAACCTTTGTCTCCTGCTCTTGTGCATTTGTTTTCCACACGTCTTCCACCTCCCCCCCCAAGGGTTGTTCTCTCCCTGCGTTGCGCGGATTGAACTCTGTGTTGGTTGCCAATGATGATATTCTCCTTCTCCTCCTCCAGACGCAATTTATTTGCCTTCCGTGGTGCGGCGGGCATCGTTGTTCCCTCCTSCCTCCTTTGTTCCATATTCCATCTCGGCGTTGAAGACATCCCGTCGATCCCACCTTTGCCTTTCTCCTTGAACTCCTCCCTGAACCGTTCTCGAAGATCAGCTCTTGTGCTTTTCACATCTTCTATGGCACGATCTACCTTTACTTTGCTCATGTGTCTCGCTCCTCTTGCCCGATGCACGTCGACTTCTTCATTGAACCGAGCTGAGTTGCTTCTTTGCTCACCTCTCTTTCTGCAGATGTCATCGTATTTTGCCCTCGTTGCCATTTCTACACTACCCACGGTCCTTCGATGACCAACGACTTTACAGCGATATCGGACTCTCTCTCCACTCAACCCTGCAACGAAGGAAACAAAATGAAATGGTGTCAATGTGCTCTGTCATGAAACATCCGTCCATGGCCACATTATGGCTAAGTGTCACCGTCTTTGCCCTTCAGTATCATTAACGATTTGATAATGCTATCAATCTTCGCGTCCTCAATCCTGTTCTTGCTTGCGACATATCTCGCAGTGTATTCTACCATCTCCTGACGCTTTTGCTTAGTCCGGTTTTCTTCTCTTTTCAGTGTGTCCATAACCACCATTACCTCGTCCGTGCTTATTTCGTCAACAAGTGGTCGGTCGCTGAAGTGTTTGATGAGACGTTCTGCGTTGATGCATGTGTACACACCGCAATCGTCTTCATTTTGTTGCTGCAGACAGTCAACTTTTACCATGTTTTTTTTAAATATGTCTCTACACATGGTCCATGATCCTCCACCTTTGGTTGATCTGCTGCCACGTCCTCCTGAATTGCGAAGATAGAATTCATCGAAGACCCAGCTACGTAGTGCATCCCAGCTCGGATTGTATTTATTCCGAAAAGAGTTCATATTAATCAATGTCGGTTTTATCTATCAGCTTTCGAAAATCCTTTTACAAAGTCCCCTACGTTTATCATCACCAACAGAGTCCGATGTCCGCGATGCCAGATGGGGACTATCACCAATCTGCTATCCCAAATACTTGATGCAAACGAAAAAATCAGCCCTTTTTGTCTTCCTTTCCTCAATCTATCTTCACATTCCGATTTCATCTTGTGCACCGATTGTTTTGCTCGTATCAATTCGTGCCAGAACCATGTGCACACGAAAATAGGACATTTGTTTTGGTCCACAGATGCTTCGTGTAAAGTTGATTGCAACATAAAATCGATAATGGCCCCATGCAACCATCTGCTGGGTTTCAAATTGGCGATATGACATCCCTGGACAACAATGCGTTCACCCCAAAAAGTTTCGATCTGAAAAGGTACAAGAGTTAAACCGTCCATTACGACTTGATTGCTCTTCAAATCTACCTTTTTGTTTGCACTTCTTGAGTCRTCRATATWCTCGTCTTYGTTCACATCCTCGTTGTATCTACTTTGAACATTCGAGYTGTCCATTTGCGCMTTTTCCTTCACATCTGYTACATTYTGTTTCTGAACTGAAGATGATTGCATTCCCCTTYTGTCSCTCCACCCTTGTCTGCCTTRCATGTAWAGAGCATATGCATCTGCGTACCAAGTTTTTTCTAATATCACACTTTTTCTTTGCTCAAAGTTGTCTACTGTCACACACTCATTTTTCCTTTTGTTCGGGGCGGCGTACTGAAAGTTGTCCAACGGGTCGTCCTCGTAGTCTTCGGTCTCTTTTGTGAAATCCACATCCACACTGCCATTCCTTTTCGAAGGCTCTGCATCCGCTGCTCGTGTTTGGATCACCCGTTTCACTGTGCCCGTCATGTCCGGCTTACTTTTGTGTTCATTTTCTTCTTGCATACCCCATCTCGCAACTCGACGCGGGACTACAAATCGTGCAGAAGCCTTGCGTGCTGTATTCTGGGTCCTCTTTCGGCTCCATACTAGTTGTGACATTTTTTATCTGAAACAAAGGGAGCATCAGTCAAATACAGAGGCTTATCACAGCGTTCTAATGTTATCTTATCAATTGTCAGGTACATATATGCATGTCTTTGTGAGTACAAGCGTCATACACTATGAACAAGAGTAGATAGAATTCATGTGGTTTCACCAAATGA